CGCCAACGGCACTGCGGCAGCCGTAGAATGAATTCAAATGCGCCATCGCTCGCTTCATTGAGCCGAAGCCGATGGCGAGCACGCGGGGCTCGACGCCGTTGTGATCGGCGGCCTCGCGAAGCAGAGGGCGGAGACGCGTCGGCCCCCAGAAGTGGCAGCGGGAAAATATCTCGCGGGCGCCCTCCTGCTGCGGGGCAGACCGCAGCTGCCAAGCCAGCGTCCTGATTCTGAAGGGCGGCCCGCATGTCTCCCCAGCCGCCCACGAGTGCTGCGCTCATGAGTCCTCGGCGGGCGCGCCGCGCCCTTCTTCGTCTTCTTCTTCTTCTTCTATCAGTATTATTTTCTTCCTTAGTATTAGTAGTATGTTTATCCTTATTATGTTATTAATTCTACTATTCTTACTCTTATTATTGCCTCGGCCTCGGCTTCCTCCGTCAGCTCCATCGCCGCCACTGGCGAGCGCTCTCTCCTCGCGGGCCTCCCGTCTCTCCTTTGCGATGGCCGCGCCCTTCTGCAGCTGCGGTGAAACGAAGTCTCGAAGAGACGGCGAAACGCAGACATGTCCACGTCCATCAGAAAGGCCTGACGCGAGGTTCTCATTCACGGCAGAATCTGAAACGCTCTCGAAGCGATGGCGATATCGCTCGCTCTCGGTCTGAATCGCCCTGGCCACGAACTCAAACGAAACCAGGTTGGAGCTGAACTAGTTGTCATAGTAAAGACCCACCTCCAGCAAGCGGCGCATAAACTCGTGGTTGCTGGCCCCTGGCTCGTCGTCACCACGGCTCCCATCGGCCCGCCACTTCTGATGCTAAGCCAGCGGGGTGCCCGCAACCCTGTGGATGAAGAGCGCGACCCACAGCAGCGTGCGAGGGCCAGCGACCGGCCAGTCCCCGAAGTGGGCCTCCATCAGCTGTCTCACCGCGTCGCCGAATTCCCTCTGCCTCTCGCCGCGGATGTCGTGCTGCACGGCCATGATCTGCCAGTCGCCTCCAGGCGCAGCGGCGGCTGCGGCCACCGCGGAAGGCGGCGGCCCGGCCGCCACGGCGGGGGCGGCCGCGGCCGCAAGGACTGCAGGGGCGGCTGCCGCCGGCGTGGGCGCCGCTGCCAGGGTCCCGCCGCCAGCGGCTCCAGCGCCAGCCAACGCCGCCGCCACCAGAGCGCCCGCCGCGAGCGCTGGCCCAACGGGCAATCCGCCGGCCGCCAAACCTCCGCCGACACTAGCAACGCCCAAGGCGGCCGCCAAGCCCGCGACTCCACCTTCAGCACCTCCATCAGGCGGCGCCGTTGCTCCCACGACGAGCCCGTGAGCACCTGCCGCGATCCGCCGCCCGCCGGCGTTCGGCACCACGGGCGCGCTTGGAGCCAGGCCCGCCGACGGCGGCCTCGACGTCCGCGTGGGCCTGCGCGACCGTCGCGGCGAGGGGAATGCTCCTAAAGCGGTAGTCGCCGTCGGCGCCGATGCCAGCCGCCGCGCCGCCTGCAGCGCCTCCAACGCACAGCACGCAAGCCACGATGTCCGCGCCGCCGACCAGCACCTCCGAGTAGTCGTCGCCGTCGGGCGTGAAGATCCCGACGCCCTAGGGGGGCCATGCCGCCAAGGCGAGCACGAATCGCTCGTGCCACACGCGACGGCCGCCGACCCGGTAGCGGATCATGACGAACTCGCCCGCTGTCGCTTCCAGGGCCCGGAGCGGGTGGACAGCCGCCATCGCCACGCCACCGAACTGGCCTGCCCAACTAACCCTGATAGCGGCGACACGCTCCCGCGCCAGGTCCTCGAGGCTCAGCGCGTCGCCGCCGCCTGGAGCCCGCGCCGCCGCCGAGCGGCCCGCCAGCAGCCAGTGGCGCAGCCCACCCGTCGCCACCCCGGCGAGGAACACCAGGGCCACCGCGGAGTAGCTGAGCACCACTTCCAGCCAGCTCGGCCCGTCGCCGACTGGCGGCGCGGCAATCGGTCCGCACAGCCCACACGATCGCAGCTGTGCCTGCTGAGCGGAGCGACTCTCCGAACAAATAATGGAGGATAGCCTGCATCGGCTTAGCACTTTGAGCCCCCAACGGCGACGGTCGGCGTCACCGTGCGGCCCCCTCTCGTTACATCTACACTAACTGTTGTCAAAACGCACATACGCATGTATGTGTATATATTTTTACATACAGACATACATATATACATGTGTTGGAAGCGTCTTGTCCACGACCTTAGCACTGGCGGGATGGACCAAAGGCCGGCATGTCGTCCACGAAGACGCATGGCGTGCAAAACTTGCCGGCCCCACAAGGACCCGTTCAAAAGGTCCCTACTGGCCCCGTTGGCCCGCCACGCTGGCCCTCCCAATTACCACCCAGGATTCCACCCTTCAATCGCCTTTTCGGTCAAGATGGCCTCCAACATGGCCAAGATGGCAGAAAGTGGGCTCTCTACACGTTCCAAGACGGCTCCAAGAAGGCCCAAGAGGCTCCCAAAACGGCTCCCAAGACCCCCAAGAGGTCCCCCAAAAAGCAAGCATGCATTGTGCTTCCTCCAGCTCCTAACAGATGTTGACTGGTACTACTTTTCTGGTCTTCGCAGCGCCCACGAGGGCCCAGGAGACTTCTAACATAGCTCTACAGTCATCGCGCGACCCTAAAGAACACCAAAGAAGAAACGAAGTGGCTGTCCAGGCCACGGGTAGCCTCGGCCACGGATAGGTTCCCAGACCTAGGTCCAAGGAGCCGAGAAACAAACATAGCCATTCCCGAACCCAAAGCGGTCCTTATTCCAGCGTCTTGACTGCATGGCGGCCCAAAAGGGCTTGAGGTCTTAGTGGCAAGACGGCTCCAAGAGGGCTCCGCAGGGGGCCTAGACGACCCAAGCGGGCCCCACAATGGCCCAAGATTCAACACTATTGCCCAAGAACGCCCTTCACTCTGGACCCCTTGTGAGGTCCAAGTCGTCCCGTCAACACTCTGGGGCATCATAATTTGACCACAATCGAACGAACTTTACGTCAATGATCGGCCGCAGCTGCCGTGTGCCTCCAAAAAGGGCGACGCGCCGTAGGAGTCTTCGATATAGACTGATCGATCAATAATGCGCAGAGCAGCTCGAGCATACGACAACGTACTCGTACCAGTTTGCATTGCTAAAGCCCGCTGCAAACAGGCTAATCCATACAGCAATTCTGCGTCGATTGGAAATCGTACCCATGCCGTTGATGCTGCCTTTCGCAGCATGCTGTGCTCAATATCTGCATCAACTACTTGTACACCTGACATGTTAAAAGTGCCCGCCCGTGGTAATCACGACGATGATGATGGTGAAAGAAGATGGGGAAACTGATGATGGCAGGGATGAGGAGTAAGCTGGCGATGCTGTAGTGACCCCCGCGTCAGGCTCAGTAAGAGCGCTGGGGAGTGCACCACATATAGATACAAGTACATAGTCGCGCCACAGCAAATTCGCCTCGACGTGACTCAAAACCTGTGCCTCTACTCTGCCTGTCCCACAGATTTGGATCTGCGAGCCGCCACTACAAACTTGGGACGCCCGACGATGTGATTTGAAAGCTGCATGCAATCCGTCTGTGAGTGGCGAAGAAGGAGCAGCAAGAGCGCCCGTACCGAACGAGTCTGGAGCACGGCGCGGCAGGCCCAGTAGCAGGAGGACGAGCAAGAATGAGACCCTGGACACTCCCGCGGCATCTCTGATGGCCGAATGAGCGTGACGGGTCCTCGGGAGAAAACCGAAGGGATACCCGTTCAGGGTGCTCCGAACAATAAAACATCGAGTGAAAGGTGCAACAACCATGGCGGGCAGAAGCCTCATAAACGATTTCCGAAACTCCCGTGGGGGCACCGTGAGGGGACACCATGAGGGGGCACCGTGAGAGGGCACCGTGAGGGGGCACCGTGCGACTCTCTTATGCCCTTTTGGTGGGCTGCGTCGTAAGCGGCTGGGTCCAGGCAATGTTGAGTCGAATGCTCGCGGCCACTGGCGACGCCGCCTCCACGAAATCACCGACCCCTGACTACAATGAAAATACTTGCCGGGATGGCTGGCTGGGTGCTTGCACTTCGCTTCTCCGCTGCAGTTGGGTGATGTCGAACAAGCTGACCTCATTTCGGAAGGGCACCGCGCTCGTGGGATGTGTGATGGGCAGCTCGGTAATGTCAACCCGAAACTCCTCACTCGCTGGCGGAATCGCCTTCGCGAGCGCAAGATTGGCGGGCCAAATCTCCTTGCGCGTGCCGTCGGCAAACTCGACCATGTAACGGCCACGACTGGGCATCCATTTAACGATCTTGCCCAGGCGGCCGTTGAGGTGCGAGAAGGTCCTAGAAGAAAAAAGAGAAGAACAACGGCAACAACAATGAGCAACACCAACATAAACGTTCGAAGTTCTGCACGGATTCGTTGGATCAACGCTGGACCCCCGTTCCTGCGCCGACCCAAGAGATCCGCACGGACCTCCGACAATGTATGTCTATGCCGTTCTTCTTCTCCGAGCTCCTCGAGCCCTGCAGCTCCACGACGCTCCCTGGTTGGGGAGCAACAGGGCACTCACACCTCCACGTGCCCTCCCTCCCCAAGAGTGGAGGGGTCTGGTGGAGGATGGGGTGTACTTGTTCTGCCCCCCCCCCTAAGAGGCACCCTCACGGTCGGGAGCTCAAGCTCTCTGGCCCAGCCCCAGGAGAGGGGAGGGTGGCCAGGTGGGGGTGGAGGTGCGCCCTCTTTTGAAAACGATTTGTCCATGGGCACTGGACAGCGGGAGGTGAATGGCTGCGGCTCCAACTGCTCGTGCTCCCGCTGCTGCCCGTGCTGCTTGCCCCCTCTGTCCCCCCCAACCCGCCCAGACATGTGCGGTGGCAGCTCATGGGAGCCTCCCATGCCATCTGGGTGTCTCTTGCGAATCGACGTTGGCCGACGCTAGTCGACGCAAATCGAGCTAAACGCTAAATCTACTCGGATCGACTCTAGATCGGCGCTCTCCCATCGACCAACAGGCGCTAGCGCACGCTAGTCCACTCTGAGTATTGAACTGGGAGGGCGTACAATAATCCCATTGCTTGCGACCGGCACAACGGCACATGTACAGCGCCCACATAATACCTGTAGAAATGTTAGATTCTTAACTGCCCAGATACGTAACACGCGACACGTAGCGTATTGATACGGAGATCAGCACGTAGATTGAAAACGTAGGTCTGACGCGATACGTTCGCCAAAACAAGGGCCAATACGTTGAGCCAACACGCAACGCATTGACACGGACGTTTGGAGCACGGTACGTATTACGTTTCAAAGCGGGCGTATTGAGGCAGCTAGGGTTATCCGCCACCGTGCCGCTGGGCACTGAGTGGGCGTGTCCTCAGGTCATGGGCCCAATCCTCTAAGCCTCAGTCCACTCCTGAGGGGCCTTTGTGGGTTCGGATCCCCTCGAGCCGAATCTCCTGGGGCGTGGCACGGTTCCCCTGGCCTCGCCACGTGTCCCCGCGTGACTTGTTCGGCCCCAGCAAGGCCCCAAGACGGGCCAAGAGGGCCACAAGAAGCCCCCAAAACGGTCCAAGAGGGCCCCGAGTCGCGGAATGATCGCTCCAAGACGCTCAAGATGGTCCCCAGACAAACCACGGTGCCTCCAAGACCGCCCCAAGAGGCCTCCCAAGCGGGCACCAAGAGGCCCAAATCATTGATTGGTCATCGGTTTTTCAAGGATGTCGGCGTTCTCGCCGTTTCGGCTTCCCGACGCTCCCAGACGGCTCTAGAGGCTCCCGAGACCGCCCCAACACGGCCAAGAGGCCTCCAAGAAGGTTCCAAAACGGCCCAAGAAGGCTCCAAGATGGCTCAAAGGCGCCCAAAACCGACCAAGAGGGCCCAAAGGCGGCTTCCAAAGGGGCCCAAGAGAGGGAACACGAACCGACAATCCGAGCCTTCCGCCCCAAGAAGCCCCCAGGAGGCCCCAAGATGACCCCAAGAGGCCCCCAAGAGGCCCCCAAGAGGCCCCCAAGAGGCCCCCAAGAGGCCCCCAAGAGGCCCCACAACGGCCCCCAAGAGACGTCCAAACTGCCTCTGAGAGGCCCCCGAGAATCCCCCCACGAGATCCCAACGAACATCCAATAGGCTTCATGTCCACAACCCCGGCACGGTGGCGGTATGGACCGAAGGCCATTACATAGGCGGTGCGCACAAAGAGTGAGGGGGAGGGGGGAAGGCCTCTTAGAAGGCGGCTGCTCATTAGAAGGCGCCGGCCCTGCATCTACAGAAAAAAGGCCCGCGCCTGCTAAGAAGCAAGGGAGCATCTAAGAAGCCTTCCCCCCTCCCCCTTGCCCCCTCTGCGCGTGGCCGAGTTCAGATTCTCTCCCCGGCCTGGCGCCAGCTCGGGCCGCTCGGGCGGCGGGCTGGGCGCATCGGGCAGCTGGACGCCTTGAGCCCCCCGCCCGCGCTTGGCGAGGCCTCCCTGGGCTGGGCCGTTCTCCTCGGGCCCCGGCCTCGCGGCCCGGCGACTGCGCACACGCCAGAACAGCACCAGGATCGGAATCTGGCATCCGACGCAGCACCCCACCCCACCGATGATGAACAAGGTCGCCGTGGAGGAGCTCACGGTATCGTCCGACCCTTCTGGGGCGGATTCGGCAACTTCGGCCTCGACTGCAATCGACGTGATTGCCAGCACCTGAACCGAATACTCGCCCACTCCGACGTTCGAGTCGATGTTATCCTGCAACAGGGATGCGAAGGAGCTGACATCCACGCTGTCCATGATCGCCTCCACCGCGCCGACATCAGGAAACGCAGCAATGCTATCCGCAGGCGCATCGATGCCGTATTTCACCTCGATGGCACCGCTGGAGAGCTCGCGCGTGACGGCCTTGAGCCTCCGGGACTCCTTGAACCAGACGGTGACATAGCTTGCCGGCAAGCCCACGACCTGAGAGATTGTAAGGCCGACCGAATTCAGAATCATCTCCGCCTCCGGACTGCTTAGGACCTCATCTGGATCCGCAAATAAGAGCACAATTGACCCGACTACTCGAAATTCGGTCTGAGTCTCACTGTTCGAAACATGAGTGGTGTTGGTCTCGTATTTGCTGGTCCTTCTGCGACTCGTGCTGCTCGAAACGCTGGCACTGCTGCTCGTGGTGCTGCTGGTCCCGCTCGCGCTGGTAATGCTCGTGGTGCTGTTTGCGCCGGTGCTGCTTTCAGGCTTGATGGTCACAGTGGGGCTGCTGGTTGCGCTTGTGCTGCTACGAGTGGCGCTGCTGGTTCCCATCGTGCTGGTCACGGTGGTGCTGCTGGTCACGTTGGTGCTGCTGCGCGTGGTGTTGCTGGTCCCAGTAATGCTGGTGCTAGTCTGCGTTGTGCTGGTCGAAGTGGCGCTCACGGTTGTCATTGTGGCAGTGACGATTCTCATTTCGGGTGATGTGAGGCGTACAGAAGATTGAACCACCACCATGCCTTGCGATTGGAAGACTGCTTGCAGAGATCTTGTGAAATTAACTGTATCGTTAACAGCAGCAACTGTCGCGTCTAAGACGTGCTCGGCAACACCCAAAGGTGCGGCTATCTCAAAACTAACGCCCCACGAACTGAAGGAAGACCGGGCCGAGGTGGAGGCGACACCTACGGTCATCTGGTCCTCCGTCACGCCAAAAAAGGATGCTATATGATCTGTCGCCGCATGTGTCACTTCTTCTTGTGTGCCTGAGCTTTGAAGTTCCAAAGAACTGCTTACAACATAGAGCGGTGTAGTAGTGCTAGACTGGGTGGTACTGATGCTGGTGGCACTGGAGCTGGAGGCACTCGTGCTGGTAGCACTGGTGCTGGTGGCTCTGGTGGCGGTCGAGCTGATGCTGATGATGCTGGGAGTGACGATCACAGATATGCTGCTCGACTCCGTGCTGGTCAGTGAAGCACTGCTCAACATCCTGCTACTAGACTCCGACGTGCTGGTGGAAATGGCGGTCCCAATCGTGGTAGAGGTCCCAGACGTCGTGCTCACAGTCGTGGTAGATGTTTTCGTTTCTGTTGGCACTGTCGTGCTAGACGTATCCGTTTCTGTTGACACTGTGGTGGAGGTCTCGGACGTCGAACTCGCAGACGAGGTGGAGAGTGTTGTGTTCGTTGACACTGTCGTGCTAGAGGTGTCGGATGTCGTACTCGCAGTCGTCGTAGAGTAGGTTTCTGTTGAATGTGTGGTGGTGGTGGTGTCAGACGTAGTAGTCGCAGTCGAGGTGGAAGTCTCTGATTTCGTTGAAACTGTCGCGCTCGAGGTCCCCGATGTCGTAGTTGGAGAGGTTGTGGAGGTCTCCGATCCTGATGACGCTGTCGTGCTGGAGGTGTCGGATGTCGTACTCGCAGTCGTCGTAGAGGTATCTGTGTCGGTTGACACTGTGGTAGTGGTGTCAGACGTGGTACTCGCAGTCGAGGTGGAAGTCTGTGTTTTCGTTGAAACTGTCGCGCTCGAGGTCCCCGATGTCGTAGTTGGAGAGGTTGTGGAGGTCTCAGATCTTGATGACGCTGTCGTGCTGGAGGTGTCGGATGTCGTACTCGCAGTCGTCGTAGAGGTATCTGTGTCGGTTGACACTGTGGTAGTGGTGTCGGACGTGGTACTCGCAGTCGAGGTGGAAGTCTGTGTTTTCGTTGAAACTGTCGCGCTCGACGTCCCCGATGTCGTAGTTGGAGAGGTTGTGGAGGTCTCCGATCTGGATGACGCTGTCGTGCTGGAGGTGTCGGATGTCGTACTCGCAGTCGTCGTAGAGGTATCTGTGTCGGTTGACACTGTGGTAGTGGTGTCAGACGTGGTACTCGCAGTTGAGGTGGAAGTCTGTGTTCTCGTTGAAACTGTCGCGCTCGAGGTTCCCGATGTCGTAGTTGGAGAGGTTGTGGAGGTCTCCGATCTTGATGACGCTGTCGTGCTGGAGGTGTCGGATGTCGTACTCGCAGTCGTCGTAGAGGTATCTGTGTCGGTTGACACTGTGGTAGTGGTGTCAGACGTGGTACTCGCAGTCGAGGTGGAAGTCTGTGTTTTCGTTGAAACTGTCGCGCTCGAGGTCCCCGATGTCGTAGTTGGAGAGGTTGTGGAGGTCTCAGATCTTGATGACGCTGTACTGCTGGAGGTGTCGGATGTCGTACTCGCAGTCGTCGTAGAGGTATCTGTGTCGGTTGACACTGTGGTAGTGGTGTCAGACGTGGTACTCGCAGTCGAGGTGGAAGTCTGTGTTTTCGTTGAAACTGTCGCGCTCGACGTCCCCGATGTCGTAGTTGGAGAGGTTGTGGAGGTCTCCGATCTTGATGACACTGTTGTGCTGGAGGTGTCCGAGGTCGAACTAGCAGTCGTCGTAGAGGTATCTGTGTCGGTTGACACTGTGGTGGTGGTGTCAGACGTGGTACTCACAGTCGAGGTGGAAGTCTCTGATTTCGTTGAAACTGTCGCGCTCGAGGTCCCCGATGTCGTAGTTGGAGAGGTTGTGGATGTCTCCGATCTTGATGACGCTGTCGTGCTGGAGGTGTCGGATGTCGTACTCGCAGTCGTCGTAGAGGTATCTGTTTCGGTTGACACTGTGGTGGTGCTCTCGGACGTCGTACTTGCGGTTGAGGTTGAAGTGCCTGTTCTCGTTGAGGCTGTCGTGCTAGAGGTGCCCGACGTCGTAGTCGGAGTTGTTGTGGAGGTCTTGCTGATCGTTGAGGCCGTTGTGCTTGACGAAGACGGCATTTTCTGTCCTTTGCAGACGTGCCGCCGGCCAAATGTGGGTGTCGTGGTAGATGACGCCGATGCCGTAGTCGCAGTCGTGATGGACGTCTCGGATGACATCGTCAATGTGGTGGTGGAGGTCTCCGACTTCGTTGACACTGTCGTGATAGATGTCGCGGTTGTGCTGGAAGTGTCCGAAGTACCTGTCTGCGTCGTCTGGGACAACGACGTTGCAGACGTGGAAGAGGCAGTCGTGCTGGAAGACATAGTGATGCTGGAGGTCTCCGATGTCGAACTCAACGTCTCGGTGGATGTCACAGATTTCGTTGACACTGTAATGGACGATGTCGCACTCGCAGTTGTAGTGGAGGTATGAGATGCCGTACTCCTAGACGTGGTGGAAGACAAGGTCGTGCTAGAGGTCTGGGATGTCGTGCTCAAAGTCGCGGTGGAGGTGCCAGTTTTCGTAGACACTGTCGTGGAAGATGTCTCGGTAGTTGAAGAAAGGGTCGTGCTGGAACTTCCTGTCGAGCTAAAAGTCAAGCTCGTGGTGGACGACTCTGTGGATGTTGTAAGACCATCGCATGTGTCGAGCCAGGTCTCGTAGGCTTTTTCCAGGTCCTGGTCGTAAAAATTGATCGTGTCACCGCCAAGGCTGAAGATGCAGACTCCAAGAGTTGTGCCAGAAATGAGACTGATGGTGCTCTGTGGCCAGGCTGCGACGCTAGTCATAGCTTTGGCCGAGTTCCAGCACGCATCTTGTCGCTTCGCACGCGTGCTCTCATTGACCACATGAAAATACCATGTCTGGCAGACGTCTGGGAATCTCACGTTTGTAGGGTCGTATCTGGGGGTGGCTGTCGTCACTGACGTGCTTGAGGTCGTCTTAGTAGAAGTCGAAAAAATATGTTGCACCCCCTGGCAGACGTACCTTTTATCCTCGTCAGCAGAGCCTTCGCTTCCATCGCCGAAGAACAATACACCGAGTTCCAACACACAAGCAAACGGTCCGTTCACTATCAGAACATCCCACACGTTGATGAGTTCCACGACTCTGCTCTTCGCATCGTAGAAGCACGTGTTCGAGTCCGGGACCTCCTCATAGCCTTGCGATGCGCACGTCTCCCCAACATTCAGCAATACATAATTCGGAGTCGTTGTCCCAGTTGTGGTGGAGGTGTCCGAAGTACTTGTAAACGTCGTGCTGTGAGACATGGTCGTGCTAGAGGTCTCGGATCTCGTGCTTGCGGTCCTAGTGGACGTCTGTGTCTTCGTTGACACGGTCTTGGAAGAGGTCTCGGATGCTGAACTCGTAGTCCGAGTGGAGGTCTGAGAAGTCGTACTCAAAGTCGAACTCCTTGTTTGGGACACGGAAGAGACGGTCGTGCTAGAAGACACCGTCATGGTAGAGGTTCCAGACGTCGTACTCGCCGTTGCAGTGGAGGTCTGGGATGTCGTGCTCGAGCTCGTAGTCGAGGTTCCAGACATGGACGAGATGGTCGTGCTAGAAGATATGGTCGGTGTGTTCGATGTCCCTGTTGTTGATGACAGTGAAGAGGAAGACGTCTCCGAAGTAATTGTCAGAGTTGTGCTCGAAGATCTGGTCTTGCTAGAAGTCTCGGATGTTGCACTCGCAGTCGTAGTGGAGGTCGTTGTTATCGTTGACCATGTCGTGGTAGAGGTCCAAGATGTCGTAGTCGCAGTTGTGCTTGAGGTTCCAGTTTGTGTTGACACTGTTCTGCTCGAAGTCTCCGATGTCGCACTCGCAGTTGTAGTGGAGGTATGAGATGCCGTACTCCTAGACGTGGTGGAAGACAAGGTCGTGCTAGAGGTCTGGGATGTCGTACTCAAAGTCCCAGTGGAGGTGCCAGTTTTCGTAGACACTGTCGTGGAAGATGTCTCGGTAGTTGAAGAAAGGGTCGTGCTGGAACTTCCAGTCGAGCTAAAAGTCAAGCTTGTGGTGGACGACTCTGTGGATGTTGTAAGGCCATCGCACCGGTCGAGCCAGATCTCGTAGGCATCTTCTAAATCCTGGTCGTAAAAATTGATCGTGTCACCGCCAAGGCTGAAGATGCAGACTCCAAGAGTTGTGCCAGAAATGAGACTGATGGTGCTCTGTGGCCAGGCTGCGACGCTAGTCATAGCCTTGGCCGAGTTCCAGCACGCATCTTGTCGCTTCGCACGCGTGCTCTCATTTACCACATGAAAATACCATGTCTGGCAGACGTCTGGGAATCTCACGTTTGTAGGGTCGTATCTGGGGGTGTCTGTCGTCACTGACGTGCTTGAGGTCGTCTTAGTAGAAGTCGAAAAAATACGTTGCACCCCTTGGCAGACGTATCTTTTATCCTCGTCAGCAGGGCCTTCGCTTCCATCGCCGAAGAGAAGTAGACCGTACTGTCCGCCACCGTGCCAGCGTCACGACGGGGTATGCTAGAATGCTTGTCTGGTGTCTGGTATGGTTCCTGTCATTTTCGAAGGGCGACCCCCGACCACGCCGAAGAGGCCATGGGTAGAAAAGGGCCCCCCCTGATTTTGCTCTCAGGAGCCCCCTTCGGCCTCCAGACGGCTCCAACACAGCCAGAGACCGCCCCAAATACGAGTGCCAGAGTCCCCAAGGCCATCCAAAGACGGAGCAAAGAGTCCCCCAAAGCCTCCAACATCTCCCCAAGATGCCCAAACATGCCCGCAGAAAAGCTTAGAGAAGCCCGGCAAGATTTCCACCGAGGCCCCAGGAAGTTAACTAGACTTAAACGTCTGATGGTTTGCTTGTGTTTTCCTCCAGGTCTTAAGCTCAATCTCCTTCATGCCGTGCTGCCGCACTGGCACGGTGGCGGGAGCTGCCGCAGGCAACAGGATAACACGCACGCAAAAAAGCTGTTAACTTTAAGAACACTCGCGGTTGAGAGCTCTGCGACTCTGCTCTTCGCATCGTAGAAACACGTGTTCGAGTCCGGGACCTCCTCATAGCCTTGCGATGCGCACGTCTCCCCAACATTCAGCAATACATAATTCGGAGTCGTTGTCCCAGTTGTGGTGGAGGTGTCCGAAGTACTTGTAAACGTCGTGCTGTGAGACATGGTCGTGCTAGAGGTCTCGGATCTCGTGCTTGCGGTCCTAGTGGACGTCTGTGTCTTCGTTGACACGGTCTTGGAAGAGGTCTCGGAAGCTGAACTCGTAGTCCGAGTGGAGGTCTGAGAAGTCGTACTCAAGGTCGAACTCCTTGTTTGAGACACGGAAGAGACGGTCGTGCTAGAAGACAGCGTCGTGGTCGAGGTTCCAGACGTCGTACTCGCAGTTGTAGTGGAAGTTTGGGATGTCGTGCTCGAGCTCGTAGTCGAGGTTCCAGACATGGAAGATGTGGTCGTGCTAGAGGATACGGTGGTTGTGCTCGATGTCTCCGTTGCTGATGATCGTGAAGTGGAAGAGGTATCTGAAGCAGTTACCAATGTCATGCTGGAAGACATGGTCGTGCTAGAAGTCTCAGACGGCGTCGTCGGAGTCGTCGAGGATGTACGTGTAATCGTTGACAATGTCGTGGTATACGTTCTTGATGCCGTAGTTGCAGTCGTGCTGGATGTCTCCGTTTGCGTTGACGCTGTCCTGGTATAGGTCTCAGACGCCGTACTGGCAGACATTGTGGATGTCTGGGATGTCGTGCTCAAAGTCGCGGTGGAGGTCTCAGTTCTCGTTGACACTGTTTTGGAAGATGTCTCAGTCGTTGAAGAAAGGCTCGTGCTGGAACTCCACGACGAGGTTAAAGTCAAGCTAGTGGTGGACGACTCTGTTGATGTTGTAAGACCATCGCAACGGTCGAGCCAGATCTCGTAGGCATCTTCTAAATCCTGGTCGTAAAAACTGATCGTGCCACCGCCAAGGCTGAAGATACAGCACCCGAGATTGGTTCCAGGATCGAGGCTGATCGTGCTCTGTGGCCAAGCTGCGACGCTTGTCATTGCCTTGGCTGAGTTCCAGCACGCCTCTTGTCGCTCCACACGCGTGCTAGCATTGACCACGTGGAAATACCATGTCTGGCAAACGTCTGGGAATCTGACATTTGCAGGATCGTATCGTCGGGTGGTTGTTGTCGCAGTCGTGCTTGAGGTCGTGCCAGTAGCAGTGGAAAACGTCTTTTGCACCCCTTCGCAGACGTATCGTCTACCCTCGTTAGCGGCACCGCCACTTCCATCACCAAAAAAAAGTACCTCGTATTGCAACACGCAGGCAAACGGGTTGCTTGGTGTGAGCACATTCGCCACTTCGGAGAGCTCCGCAATGCTACTTTTCGCGTTGTAGAAGCATGTCGACGAATCGCGGATCTCGTCATAGCCTTGCGACGCGCACGTCTCGCCAACGTCGAGCAAGACGTAATTCGGTGTAGTGGTCCCGGTGTTGGTGGAGGTGTTCGAACTAGTTGTCGGCGTCGTGCTCGAAGACATGGTCGTGCTAGAGGTCTCGGATCTCGTGCTCTCAGTCGTAGTGAACGTCTGTGTTTTCGTTGAGACGGTTCTGGAAGAAGTCTGGGATGCTGAACTCGTAGTCCGAGTGGATGTCGGAGACGTCGCGGATGACACGGTCGTGCTAGAAGAAACTGTAGTCAGAGAGGACTCGGATGTCGCACTCACAGTCGTAGTAGAGGTCTGCGACGCCGTGCTCAAACTCGTGGTCGAGGTTCCAGACGTTGAAGAGATGGTCGTGCTAGAAGAGGTGGCCGTTGTTTTCGATGTCTCTGTTGTTGATGACAGTGACGCGGAAGATGTAACCGAAGTAGTTGTCAGTGTCTTGCTGGATGACATGGTCGTGCTAGAAGACTCGGATGTCGTACTCGCAGTCGAAGAGAACGTCTTTGTGACCGTTGACAGTGTTGTGGTCGAGGTTCCAGAACTCGTAGTTGCAGTCGTGCTGGATGTATCAGTTTTCGTTGACGCTGTTGTTGTAGAGGTCTCGGATGTCGTACTCTCAGAAATTGTAGAGGTTTGAGATGTCGTGCTCAAAGTCCCGGTGGAGGTCTCAGTTCTCGTTGACACTGTTTGGGAAGATGTCTCGGTAATTGAGGAAAGGCTCGTGCTGGAACTCCACGTCGAACTTAAAGTCAAGCTAGTGGTGGACGACTCTGTTGATGTTGTAAGGCCATCGCAACGGTCGAGCCAGATCTCGTAGGCATCTTCTAAATCCTGGTCGTAAAAACTGATCGTGCCACCGCCAAGGCTGAAGATACAGCACCCGAGATTGGTTCCAGGATCGAGGCTGATCGTGCTCTGTGGCCAAGCTGCGACGCTTGTCATTGCCTTGGCTGAGTTCCAGCACGCCTCTTGTCGCTCCACACGCGTGCTAGCATTGACCACGTGGAAATACCATGTCTGGCAAACGTCTGGGAATCTGACATGAGTGGGATCATATCTCGGTGTGGTTGTTGTCGCAGTCGTGCTTGATGTCGTCCAGGTAGTCCGCCGCCGTGCCTTCAGCACGTAGTGGGATGCCTCAAGGCTCACGCAACACTGAGATGTCCTGGGGTTGTAAGATTATGGAAGGCCCAGACCCCCAGTTCACGGCCGCTGCCAGGATTTACTAGGAGCTCTTGGGAGATCTGAGCGCCAAGAGGGCCCCAAGATGGGGAAACTGGAGCAGAGAGTTCGAGCCCTCCGCCCCAAAAGCCCTCAAGAGGCCCCCGAGAGGCCCCCAGACACCCCAAAACTGTCTCCAAGATGCTTCCGAGAGGCGCCTCAAGAGATCCCAACAGGCATCCAAGAAGCCTCTGACCTAACACCTAGGCACGGTGGCGGGATGGGCCGAACGAAGGCCATCAGATAGTTGAAAAGCTATGGTGCACACCTTTGCAAACGTACTGTTTATGCTCGTCAGCAATGCCATCACTTCCGTCGCCGAAGAAAAGTACCCCGTACTCTAACACGCAAGCAAAGGAGCTGTCTACTTGCTGAACGTGCGTCACATTGACGAGCTCAACGACTCTGCTCTTCGCATCCTCAAAGCACGTCGCCCAATCCAAGATCTCATCATAGCCATTCGACGCGCACGTCTCACCAAGTCCCAGCAAAATGTAATTTGGGGTAGTGGTCCCGGTTGTAGAGGACGTGTCCGAACTAGTCGTCCGTGTTGCTGATGTAGGTGAAGATCCAGACGTGGTTGAAACAGACATGGAGGACACTGACGTGCTCGACGTCTCGGATGCCGTGCTCCCAGTCGTGGTGGAGGTCTGTGTTTTCGTGACTCCGTCGCCGAAGAAAAGCTGCCCGTCCTCAAACACGCAAGAGAAAGGGCCACTTACCTCCTCGGCAGGCAGACCCGAGATCTCGGCGATGCTGACAGATGCTTCGCTGAAACACTCAGTCGGGTCCGAGATTTCCTGGTAACCCTCGGAAGCACAAGTCTCGCCAAGCGCCAATAAAACGTAATTGGTCGGGCTTGTCGTGGTCTCGGTTGTCGTGATCTCTTTCGTCGTACTCCCAACCATGGTTACAATATGCGTATCGGTAGTCACGGTGACGCTTGCCATCTGCCGGTGGGCCTGTTGTCCCGCCGCCGATAAAGCGCCGGCGTGGCCTGAAACTGCCTTGAGATTTCTCGTGTCGACACTACTTTCCGGACGGGTCCGGACAGCCGCTGGTGAGGGCGAAACCGAAACAACTTTAGCAGGGCTGCCACTTCGCTGGGCATGAATATCCGGGACGCCCTCACGGTCGAAAGCTGGGATTTCGTGATCTCCACCGTCGACTAGGTCGATACGTGTGGCGTCTTGCATCCGCCCGTTGGGCGACATGCTCGACTGCAGCACGACTGCGGCAGCCGCAACGCGGACGGCATTCGTTCTTAGCCGCTGCAGCCTCGTGCGGTCAGCCAGCCAGACGAACACCACGGCGCAAACAAGCCATAGAAGAACGCTCGCCCGAATCGCTTGTGGCACTGTTGGGGCCCGCATACGCTCCAACCGAAAGGCTGCGGAGCGGATGCATGCTTTTCTAATGCACGCGTCGGCAATATCACCCCGCCAAGATACCCGAATCACTTTGCTTCAGGCGACCCCTACCAAAGAACTGCTCCGAATGGCTTGAAACCTGCTACGTGTGATTCTACATTGGGATATGTTACATCGGAGTTGGGGTTTGTGAGACCGAAGTGAAACTTGAGGTACCCAAGCGTTGAAATTGTTTCGTTTCGTGCGTGACGCGCGTGCGGGCGAGGCGAGACGAACCTACAGGAGCTCCTGCCGTTGCTGGAGCTCGTTCAAGCCAACATGAGTATCCTCTTGTCGGATTCGTTACCCCTGGTTGCCCCCAGGTTGTCCGATGGTTGTCCCGATGGTTGTCCCGATGGTTGTCCTGATAATTGTCCCAATAATGGTTGCCCCAATGGTTGTCCCAATGGTTGTCCCGATGGTTACCCCGATGGTTGTCCCGATGGTTGTCCCGACGGTTATCCCGATTAATGCCCCACTGATTGTCCCGGTGATTGTCCCGGTTGTTGTCCCGATGGTTGTGGCGATGCTTGTCCCGATGGTTGTCCCGATGGTGTTGTCCCGATGGTGTTGTCCCGATGGTGTTGTCCCGATGGATGTGCCAGTGGTCCTCTGGATGGTTCTCCCGATGGATGGATGTCCCGGTGGTTGCCCCAGTGGTTGTCCCGTTGGCTGTCGCGATGGTTGTCCCAGAACTCGGACGGGTTGCCTCTTCGGAACGCATGGGCCCTAGAGCTAGCGACCTCTCCCCCAGGGGTGTGTTCTCATCCCGGACAGCTCTCTGGTTCTATAACGGGGCCCGGCACGGGCCTCTGGAGGCCAGAGCTGACAACGAACCGCAAGCAGCGAAAGACACAGCGACGTCGGGACGCCTGGGCCCTTTCAGCTTCTCAGTCGCCTGCTGATGGGCGTGTGACTGCTCAGGCTCAGAATCAGCGAAGGGCAAACTAAGAAAGACACATGTACGGAAAAGTACTGGCCCAGGCCAAGAATTCCCAAACGAATTCCAAACTACCCCCAAACAAATCATATCATCTGACACAGATGCTGCTCCGCAGCCAAGAACACCCAATGAACCCCACCAGCCCTCTGGGCGTAGCTGGTTTAGGGTGTTTCCTCTTCCGCCTCTCCCTCTTCACCTTCGGGGAAGGGTTCACCCCTCCCCCATGACCTCCTCCCCTGGACCTGGACGGGGCCGGTCGCGGGTTGTTGGAGCGTCCAAAACGGCCTTGGCGAGGAAACCAAAATCATTGGTTTTACAACGGTTTTGGCCCCATTTTGGCTTTTCGAGGGGGGGTGCGAATTAAGGACCCCCCCTTCTTTGATCGATCTCCTCCAAGATGGCCCGAAGAGGCTGGGCCCAAGAAGCCCCCAAACGGCCCCTAAAACGGCTCCAGGAGGCCCCCAGGAGGCCCCCAGGAGGCCCCCAATAGGACCCCGAGCGGCCCCAAGAGGCCCCCCCGAGGCCCCCAGGACTCAAACAAAAACCCACAACCGCCGAGAGACCCCCAACGCGTCCGAAGAGGCCTCCAAGAAGCGCGCAAGAGATATCCCAAGAGGCTCCGGGAGGCATCCGAGGGGCCTCAGGCACTTTTGCTTGCCCTCCTCCTCCTGCCTCCTCCTACTCCTTTTCTTCCTCCTCCTCCTGCTCCTGCTCATCATCCTATTATTTTCCTTCTCCCCACTCCCTCATCCATCCATCCAGCCTCCTCCGTCTCCTCCTCCCTCCTTCGTGCGGTTCGGCCGTCCACCTCTTTGCTCCAACACTTCCCTGATCACCTCAAAACGCCTGGACATCATATCTAGATGGGCTGGCGGGGCGTACTTTTTGGATCGCGAATCACGCAGGCAGCTGCGCGCCGTCAAGATAGTCAGACGACAAACCAACCTAACAGGACAGGCGGAAAAAAGGGCCACAACGGCGGCGAGAACTACGCGGCGGAGGAGAAAACGAACGAAAGCACACAGAGGGCGTAGCGACGAAGAGCAAGAGGGCGAAAGCGCAAGGAACAGCGAAAAACGAGGGCACACAGGAAGAAGGCGAAACGAGGGGCGAACATAAACACGTCGGAGAGGGACAGGCGCGCCGCAGCTCAGGCTCAGCCAACGTCGAGGACGAAACTCCTTGCCGAGGAGCCGGGACTTGAAGTAGAGCGACATGTCAGCCGAGTTGCACTTGGGGGGTAGCGAAGTGGCCACTGACGTGGACCACAAGCGTAAGCGCCGTCCAATCCAGCAGGCCACCTCCAGGGTCATATGATCAATCCGCATGGCTGACGCCGTCCAGGAGCCACGAGGGGCAGGGGCACACCCCAAGAGCGACGAGGAGACAGGGGGGAATACGCGAACCGTTTAGAATTTACAATACCTTTTTGTTGTCCCAAAAAAGCTGAGGCCGACCCCCATAAGCAGGCGAAGGAAATCTGGCCCCCGGGCCCCTCCAGGGCTCCATCCTGGCACATTGTCCGAACTGCGTCCGAGCGTGGCCAGGAGGAGCCCGACGAGGCCCCCCGAACATGCAAAAATAATGGGAGTCTTCTCGCCTCCCTTCCTCGCCCCTCCAAAGACATCCGGCGGCTAGGCTTGATCGTGACATGGGCCCCCTGACCTCTCGACCGCTCCCCCAGACACATCGACAATTGTTTACGCTCCTGGGGCATGGCAAAGCACGCGCTAACAAAAAGCGCTGCAAGTCAATGGTTGGGAACCGAAGATATCCTCGAACCTGTCCACGGGTGCGTGCTGGCTAGCACTTCGAAGTTGTATCCAGCCGCGGCGACGAGAAGCTCCACTGGAAACTTAAAATGGTCAGACACGGGAGCAACAAAACATTGGAACCTCGAGCGTCGAACCACCAACATTCTCCCCAGTCTATCAAAACTGCGACAGAACTCCTCGAACCAAGCGCCGCACGATCATCTCTAATCGGGTAAAGAGGAGGAAGAGGAGGAGCCACGCTGCGTCTACAAATTCTATGCCCTTGCGTGCTAATCATATGTTGCCAACTCTTGTTGCCCGTCTCTGTCCCCATACTGATCCGTGCTGTTGCTTATCCTCGATGGCTTCTCACTCGGGCCACATCTCCTGAGTTGGGCACTCCACTCTTTTCTTCCGCGGCAGAACGAAGCGGTCCTTGGACTGGTGGCCGTGCAATGCAGGGAGGACCGAAGAGAACACACAATGCGTCGAAGTTGCTGCAGTACGACATCCCGTCCCACCTCTCCCCCTCGCAAGTCGCTACAAGTATTCGCTTCCACTGCGGGAAGCGCCCCCATCTGGTCAAAGTTGGATATCCCCCCCGCCCCCCCTCATCTCTCCCAGGAGGCCCCCTTTTTTTCAGAAGGCCTCCAAAACCAAACGGAAAGAGCCACCCCCATCACTCAAATCATCATCAACATCAGCATCCCTATTATCATTCCCATCATCGTCATCAGCATCACCCTCATGATACTCGCCCTCATCAGCATTACCATCCCCATCCTCATTTTCATAATCGCCACCCCCATCATCCTCATTCTCCTCATCCTCGTCCTGACCCTCGTCCTGATCATCATCCTCGTCATCGCCCTCATCCTCGCGACGACGGTCAACGACGTCGTCGAACCGGCCCTCTTCTGGTTCCCAGCGCGCGCGGGCGCAGGAGAGGGGGGGGCCGCCCCTATGTCGATCGTTCCACGGCCAGGGTTTCCCAGGAGGCGTGTTAGTTTAAAAAAGGAAAAGGGGGCCATGATATCCGCACCCTGCTCTGAACCCTCACCACCTTCTTGGACGCCCCCAGCCTGCCCCAATCCCTCCCCCCCTTCCAGCTGGGGGATCGCCTGACCGAGGCCCCGGAAAACGTCCCGCAGCTCCCTCTGCGACCCGCTCCGCATGCCGGAGCCGGTGCCGGGCCGCAGGTGCGCCGTCGGGATCCTGCAGCGCCCCGGGGACGGCAGAGGGGGACTGCAAGGAGAGGGAAAAGGTATTATGGGCAATGATCAAGAAAACATGTGGAAACGATGGAATTACCAAACGATATCGCACTTTTGGCTTACCTCGACAGACATGGGGGGACGTCGAAGAGGGGAGGGAGGAACGATCGAGGACCAAAAACAATTCCAAATTTTGAACCGCCTTTCTTCGGGCCCCCAGGAGGTTTCTCGTCGCCGGGGATGGATTCCCCTCGAGGTTGTGGCCCAAGCGCACCCCAGGTAACGTCCCTCCTCCTCCTCCTCCTCCTCCTCCTCTTCTTCCTTTTTCCTCCTCCTCCTTCTCGTTCTCCTCCTCCTTTTCCTCCTCCTCCTTTTCCTTCTCCTTGTCATCCTCATTTTTCTCCTCCTCCTCCTCCTCCTCCTTTTCCTCCTCCTCCTCTTCTTCCTCTTCTCTTCTTGGTGTCTCTCGTTCTCTTTCTCTCTCTTTCTTTTCCTCTCGTTATCTTTCTCTCTCTCTCTCTCTCTTATATATATATGTATATGTATATGTATATATATGTATATATATATATATATATTATGAGGCGAAAGCCGGCCTTGGCAATCGTCATGCAGCGAGCGGCTGAGGGTCGGAACGTTCAGGGGAGTGCAAGATGCACTACGTCGGCGGGCGAGAGTTAGCTCGCCCGCCTCCAGGCGGTGCGGGAGGCGGGCGACGCCTTCCCCCCAAAGTGCGCAGCACAGAATAGAATGCCTCCCTCTGTATCGTTCGCGCGGAGATGGTCGGGAAAGGGGGGGCCACACATTTAAAACAATATTGTGGGTGAGAGCTCAGACCAGACGATATGTTTTGTGCAAGGGGCCGAGGGCGCTCCGACCGAGGACGCAGCATGCTGGGCACATATTCCGTACCAAACACGCTAGCTTGGTGAACTGGCCGACAGGCCGCCCAACCCCAAAAGAAAACAAAAACTCGACACGAGGCAATTGCTTGCTGATCCTGGCGACCGAAGATAAACGGTAGGCGCTGCTGAGCGTCCTGTGCACACCCTCCGAGGCCACTTGCTTAGGCGCGTGGCGGGCTGGGGCCCTGTGGGCCGAGTCCAGATGAGGAAGCCCGAGGGAGCCCAGATGAAACTTACCAGACCTGTCACATCTACCACGGGAGCATTTACAGCGACTAGACAGAGAGCCGAGGCCAGAGACGCGCCAGCCGACGAGGCGCCAAGTGCGGTGCATACGACCCTCGAACATGCAAGCGTCGAAACAGGCTTCGGACGACGCCAACGGAAGGAGGCGGGCGACGAGCGGGCCACAACGCACTGCTAACGGGATGCTCTGGGATAGCGGGTATTTTACACTTCGCACACTCGAAGAGGGCCTGAAGCAGACGATACGTTTCAGCATTAGCCACATTAACACGAGCCTGCACAAAAGGACTAAAGCCTGGGAGCCCTCGGGGCCGAACCGACGACCCGGCGGGGGGCCTGGCGCACGCGGACCAGGAAGAGAGACCAGGCCGAAACCAGGCCCCCGCAACACACGAGCCGCGAACCCAGCCATGGACGACGAGGGAAGCACCAGGCGCGCCAAGATCCTCGGAAGGGCCGCGGCAAGGGCCCAGGACGACGGCGCCGATGTTCTATTGACGACAGGCTTGATCAATCCGCTCCAGAGCGACACCGCACAGAAGAAACATTGAAGCGAGGGATGGCGCCACTGCGGAGGGTAGCCCCCCTGAAAAGTCTAGTCAACCGAAGCGCCACCTGCTGCTCAGCTTGGGGGCGCGTGCCCGCTTCGCCGGAGGCGGGCTCGGTGATGCCGGCGCTGGCGTCGGCAGTGCGGAGCTCCCCGTCGCCGCCGTCCGCGAGATGAGCTCCGCCTCCCGACCGTCCACCGCGGCCCCCAGCGACGCCGCGCGTTTGGGGGGCGAGGCGATCAGCTGCTGCATGCGCGACCGCTTGGCATAACGGTGGAGGGAGGCGTCGGTGACCCATCTCCCACGATCCCTGACCTCCTTCCTCGTGCGACGGCCCGGGAGGGGATCGTCGGAAGCACCTCCGCGCCTCAGCGTGTAGAGGGTCGAGACGCCGTCCCAGATGCCCAGCTTGACGAGCGCCTCGCGGAAGGCCTGGCGGATCGCGGACGGGGGGGGGGGGCTCCGCGGCGGGTCCATCGCGGAGCGGTGCTGCTTCAAGCCCTGGAGGAGCGGCCATAGGCAGGGGTTGTCGACGATCGCGCCCTCGTCCGTAACTCCCGTCTTCCCAGGGCCACCCGTCGATTCGTCGTTGACGATCGTGCCCCGGCGCTGGCGCCCGTCGGTCGAGCCCTTGCGTGGCTCCACCAGGCTGCCTGCGACCAGCCGATGCGCCTCGCTCGGCCTCAGGTAGGTGTCGAACGCGAGCATCACGAAGACCGCCTCCGCGAACCTCCTCTCCAGGATGAAGAGGCCGACCACCGCCAGCATCGCAAGCCGCGACATCGGGAGTCGCATCTGCGGGGGCGCCGGGCGGGTGGCCCGAGGGAGGAGCCTGGGGCCCGCCAGCATGTGCGGGAGGAGGCGGCGAAGGGCTGCCATGGTCATGCGCCCCGTCGCAGTGTCGAGCCCGTCCAGGCAGAGGTTCCCGAAGAAGGCCAGCAGGAATGCGTCCAACTCGGCGGCGCCCCCGAACGACTGACCCGTCCACGTGCGCCACTGGTGGAAGCGCGCGGCGTGAGCGCGGTGCGAGACCAGCGTCCTCTGCGCCGCCGCCGCGTTCTCCAAAGACGAGGTCTCGCCGTCCAGCAGCTTCGAGACACCTGGGCGGGGAAGACCTCTCTGCGCGTTCAGCACAAGGTCGACGCTCTGCGGCCTGACAGACTTTTTCCCCCTCGAAGTCCTTCCACGGTCCCAGGAAGAAGCCGCGCGTCTGCAACGTTGCGCCCACTCGGGATCCACCGCGCTATGACCTGGATGCCCGCGGCAAGGCTGAGGGCGGCGATCCGTCGAAGGATGCGCCGCAGGTGCTGAGAGCCCGAGCGACCCCTGCCGCAAGAAAGAGCCAGAGCCAAATTGTCGACGAGGAATAGAATGCGACGACCACGGTGGCTAGCATTTCGGGCAGCATGACAAATCGCGAAGCACAGTGCCACTCCCTCATACTCGAGAATGTTGAGACCCTGGCGGCGATGGCGACTCGAGTGGATGATGACCCAGTCCCTCGACTCGTAAAGCACCGAAGGCACCTCGACGGAGTCCGAGCTGGTGGAGATCTCCCCCTCCCCGAGCAGCGCGGCCGATGGCAGCGAACATCCAGCAGCAACGGCATGATTATCGGAATCATCCTCTCCTCCTCCGAAAGCATGTGACCTGGCGGAGATGGCCTCGGAAACCCTATACATCCATTTCTCAGCGACCCTGCCCGTGGACGAGACGACGACGGGGCCCAGCTTCTCCAAGCACACTCCTCTCCCATACGGCGAGGCATCGGACGCGTAGAAGTCGCCGAGCCACGGGGCGCGAGCACACGCCCACATCAATTGCAGTGGGGCCGCCACGGCCGAGAGTTCCTGTCGCGCAGAGCTGTGCGGGAGTGGATCCGGCGACTTGGATGAACCGATAGACCCCGTTGAATATCGACAGGCACTCTCTCCGCATGATCATGGCCCACGTAGCGTGACCTACAATTGAATTGATGGCCCCTCGCGAGGCGGAGCCGCGGGCGAGCGGAGCAAGGATGGCTCGGCGCAGCCTGGCCAGGGGGTCGGGTCTCACGCGCAGCCTCCCCGTACCGCCCGAGAACTGGATGCCCGTGAAGACGCCCTCTCTCTGCGCCTCGGCGAAGTCGTGCACGGGCAACCGTCTCGACGCGAGGGGTGCCGCCAGCTCGCGAGCCTTCGAGGTCGCCAGCGAGTCTGTCTGAGACACGACGCAAAAGTTGTCGACGTACCCTGCCGCCGCCAAGTCAGACTTGTCGACCAGCGGGTCGGGACAGGCCCCATCCGCCAGGTGGCGACTGGGTGGGTGCCAACGTCGATCATGCCACGCACCAGAGCGGACTGGCAAAATAACGGCGCCCAGCTCCATCCCATGGGCATGACCCGCACTACGGGCTGCAGGATGGCGTGGCCGTCGACGCCCGTGGCCCCAACCTTCTTGAGCCCGAGGAAGCGGTTCGAGATTGGAGGCAGGCGGAAGTAGTCACCGACCTCGCTCGGGAGCGCCATGTGGTAGAAGGCGCACTGGATGTCGCCCTGGGCCACAAAGAAATCGCCCGTCGACTCCAGGGGGGCCCAGGCCGACGGCGTCGGCAGCACCGTGCTCGGGGGGGCCGTGAAAAAAGTCTTCGCCATCCTCGTGTCGAACACCAAGCGAAGCTTGCCCCCCGACTTCTCGACGCAGAAAATCCCGACGGAGAAGGAGGAGGACGGAGAAGACGCCACGGCCCACTCGATCACGCGGCGGCGCCGCATCGCGTTTAAAAGCTCAGCATACTTCCGAGGGTTGCGCAGCAGCGGGTCGACATAAGGCCATTGAACGCCCGACGTCTCCTGAATCTCACGAACCTCGGCATCATATCTCAGCGCACTCTGCCTCCAACCCTCCAACTAGATGGCATCGGCCTGCTGCGCAACGGAGGGCACCTGGACAGGAAGCCCCGTCACAGCAGGCCAGGCCACAATCTTTGTCGAAGGGCCTGACCCGTGAGCTGTTCTGGTAGCCAGGGGTCGTGTCGAGCACCTCTGCAAGGGATGCTTCGCAAAACTGCCGCTGCTCGCTGTAGCCAGCTGGCAACTCAGAACTGCGGCAATGCTCCTGCAGCTCCTCCATCGCAACCTGCTGAGCCAACGATCCGCCTGCTGCCTCGCCATCCACCGTAGGCCCCACGGCACGACCATGGAGCCAGTTGAGAGCCTCCACGCCCTCGTTGCACCACTGGCGCCACGCCGCGCCACGGGCCGCGCGCTGGCGAGGACGACGCCCAGCCGCGGCGCGCATCCGAGCGTCAACCTCAAGCAAAGGCAGTGGAAGAGCACCCCGCCGACGCTGGCGGGCGGCCTGTGGCAGGCCCAGGCCAGGCGGAGGCCCGACGGGGCCCGGGGCATGACGAGCTGGGCAGCCCTGGGGCTGGCCCCCCCCCCCCAGCCCGCGTCACCAGTGGGCGTCGTGGCGCCCGCGAGGCGCGCTCCTCACGCGCCTTGCGTCGCGCCTGGGACACCGCCGCCTCGTTCATCTGCTCGGCGATGAACTGCGCCAGGGCGGGGCAGATGCAGAGGTTGCCCTTCGTCTCGCCGGTCCCGAGGAAGTGGCCCACCTCGGTTGGCAGCGAATCCTGGCCCGCCGCCTCCTTCTTGCCCTGACACTTCAGGGCCGCGGCCGCCTTGCGCGTCTTCTCGTCGTGCACCCGCTCCCCGATGAGCTGGAGCTGCCGCGCAAGGTACTCGTGCCCAACTCCGTGATCACCATCTGGTCGTACACCATCGCGGTCTCGACGGTGCGGCAGATCGTCTCGTGCTGCTTGGCCGCTTCGTCGTGCTCCGCGATGGCCGTGACGGCCAGCCACCGCGTGTGCCACGCCACCGCGCCTCCCGCCAACCTGAGCATGAGCGTGAGAACCCGCAGCAGCGTCCGCGGGCCCAGGACGGGCCAGTCCTCGCGCTCGAGCTCGGTCTGCTCCTTGAGCGCGTCGCCGAACGGACGGTCTCGGCGGCCCCGTGAGTCCCGCGCGATCCCAATGATCCGCGGGTCGGCGGCAGGGCCCTCGAGCCCAGGAGGCGCGGCCGCGCCCCCGATGGCAGCCCCCGCGTCGGCGCCAGGCCTGAGGGCCGCAGCCAACGCGTCGCCCAAGTGGTCGGCTAGACCAGCAGGGCGCGGGGGGCCCGCTGCGGCGGGGGCCGCCGCAGGCACCGGGGGCCCGCCGACAGGGGGCAGCGCCGCCGCCTGCGTGTCGCGGAGGCGAAGCAGCCCAGGCGCCATCCCGAGCACGTTTCTGCCCCCGAGGCGCAGGCTGAAGTCGTTCGAGGGGCGCGCCACCAGCGCCTCCAGCAGCTGCGAGGCGAACGGCATCCCAGACTTCGGCCGCCGCGGGCAAGCGTCTAATGCGGCGCGCGCTAGATCCCGCCACGCCCTCGACGGCAGCGCCCTGGCCAGCGAGCAGCTTGAGATCCCGAGCGCCCCGAGAGGGTGCCTGATCCTCAGGATGCACATCGAAGTCAGGCGCCATGATGTAAAGCCCCATGATCACGAGACGTTCGTGCCAGATCTCACGGCCTGGGACGTTGAACCTCACGGCGTAGAAGCTGCCAGGCGGTCAGCGCCACGGCCTCAGCGCGCGCTCAAAGCCCTGAGCCGCGCCGCGCAAGCCTGCCCCGCCGCAGCCCGCTCGAAATCGGCGGCCGGGCCGTCGGGCGACGTCGTCGGCGAGCTCCCGCCGTGCACGGCGAGGGGGGGCGCCGCGGGCCCCCCCCGCCTCTGGCGCGCCTCACAGATGACGAAGGCGCCTGCGAGAGCGACCCCCACCGCGAAGCCGTGCACGAAGACGAGCGTCCTGATCCAGCCTTAGCCCGCTCCTTCGGGGACCGCCGACAGGTGCCCCTCGCCCGAGGGGCAGGAGCAGGCAAGGGGTGCACAGTTGAGCGTCGGCTTGCACGTGCACGCGGGGCACGGATCAGCCGCAGCACGCGCTATCACAGCAGTCTGAAGGGGGCGGGCGACGTCGGGCACCGCCTCGGCAAGGAAGGCCTGCATCCCCTGAAAGACTTGAGCGAGGAGAACGGCGGCGGATCGCGCATGCTCCCACAAACGCCTCCTGCAGAGCTAAATTGGAGCCCCCGGAAAAGTTTCGCAGTTCTGCTCACACTTGCACTCCCCGCGCGCGGGCGCCACCCGAGGGCACTTCCGCGCGTGCCCGCTCTCGCGCGGCGCACCCTTGCGCGCCTCGAAGGCGCTCTAGTGCGTGCCCG